ATGAAAAGGGTGAAATCACAACAAATCCTGCAGAAATCCATATTATCGATACCTACTTTGAGAACCTGTAATAACATGGAAAACAAAAGAAATGGACAGATTCCTAGATACATATGAATTACCAAAGCTGAATCAAGAAGATATAAAAATTCGAAATAACCATATATCAGCCAATGAAATTGAAGATGTAATTAAAAACCCTACCAATAATGAAAAGCCCAGGTCCTGATGAATTCACTGCTGAATTCTACAAGAAATTAAGAGAACTATTGGTGCTACTTTTCAAACTCTTTAATGAAATTGAAAGGGAAGCAATACTCCCAAATTCATTCATGGAAGCAAGCATTACCCTGATATCAAAACCACTGAAGGATCCAACCAAAAAAGAGGTCAATCTCTCTAATGAACTTAGATGCAAAAATCCTCAATAAGATACTGCCAAAAAGAATGCAGCAAATCATCAAGAAGATTACACAACATGATGAAGTAGGATATATCCCAGGGATGCAGGGATGGTTCAACATATGTAAATTAATAAATGTAATACCCCATATTAACAGAGTCAAGGACAAAAACCACATGATCATCTAAATAAATGAAAACGTATTTGACAAAGTCTGACACCCATTAATGATAAAAATTCTATAAAAAATGGAATCAATGGTCAGATAAAAGCCATCTATGACAAACTAACAGCCAACATCATACTAAATGGACAAAAACTGAAAGCTTTCACTCTAAAATAAGGAACAAGATAAGGATGTCCATTATCACCACTCTTATTCAATATAGTTCTAGAAATATTAGCTAGAGCAATTAGAAAAGAGAAACAAAAGGAATAAGGATAGGAAAGGAAAAAGTTAAATTATCATTATTTGCAGATGACATGATACTCTACATAGAAGATCCAAAAAACTCCACCAAAAGACTTCCAGATTTAATACTCAAATTCAGTCATGTAGCTGGGTACAAACTCAACACTCAAAAATCTGTACACAAATAACAAACTCACTGAGAAATAAATTAAGGAAACAATCACAATAGGATCTAAAAATATTAAATACTCAGGAATCAAACTAATGAAGGAAGTAAAAGACCTTTACACTGAAAACTACGGTACTCTGAAAAAGGAGATCAAAGAGGATGTCAGAAAATGGAAAGATATCCCTTGTTCTTGGATAGGAAGAACCAATATAGTGAAAATGGCCATACGTCCAAAATTGTTATACAGATTTAATGCAATCCTGATCAAAATTCAATAGCATATCTGACAGAAGTAGAGAAAACAATCCAAAAATACATCTGAAACCAGAAGAGACCTGGAATAACAAAAACAATTCTGGGCAACAAAGGCAAGGCAGGTGGCATCAAAATCCCTGACTTGAAATTATACTACAAAGCTACTGTGATAAAAACAGCATGGTACTGGCAAAAAAAAATAGACGAACTCAGGAATGAAGGGAATAGATTAGAAGATACAGAAACAACACCAAACACACTCAGCCACCTTATCTTTGACAAGGGGCCAAACACCTTCACTGGAAGATAGTTTGTTTAATAAATGGTGATGGGAAAACTGGCTTTCCACAGGCCAAAGATTAAAACTAGACCCATTATCTCCCACTGTACACCAAACTAAAATCAAAACAGATCAAAGATCTAAATATTAAAACAGAAACATTAAATCTTCTAGCAGAGGCCCGGGGATTTAGCTCAGTGGTTCCAGCACCTGCCTCGCAAGCACAAGGTCCCGAGTTTGATCCCTGGTACCAATAAATAAATAAATTAATTAAATAAAATAAATAAATAAATAAATAAATAAATCTGCCAGCAGAGAGAATAGGTAGAACTCTTAAAGACATAAGTGTAGGCAAAGACTTTATAAACAAAAGTTTCTGATTGCACAGGTAATATCATAAAGAATCAACAACTGTGATCTCATCTTATTAAAAAGCTTTTACACAGCAAAAGAAACCACCCACAGAGTGAAGAGACATCCCACAGTGTGGGAAAAACAATTTGCCAGCTGTTCCTCAAAGGACTACTATTGGGAATATATAAAGAACTCAAAAAATCAGACCCCTCCAAATTTAAAGACCCAATCCAAAAATGGGCATCTGAAATGAATAGGTACTTCTCAGATGAAGTA